ACTGTTTTAGTCTATTTTGTGTGTATTTTGTAAGTATTCCTACACCAGCTTTCTTTTCATTGCTATTTGCATGAAATATATTTTTCCCTTCAATTTCAGTCTGTGTGTGTCTTTATAGCTGAAGTAATTTTTATAAGCAAATATGTATGGTTCTTGTTTTTATTATTCATTCAGCCACTCTGGGTCTTTTGATTGGAGAATTTAGGTCACTTACATTTAAAGTAATTATTGATGGGTATGTACTTATTGCTTCTTTATTAATTGTTTTCTGGTTGTTTTTGTAGTTCTTCTCTGTTTCTTTCTTCTTCTCTTGTTCTTTTCCTTTGTGCATTGATGACTTTCTGTAGTGTTATGTTTGGATGCCTTTCTCTTTATTTTGTATACCTGTTTTATTTTGTGTACAGGTTTTTGGTTTATGGCTACCATGAATTTCACATATAACACCCGATGATAATAGTAGTTTAAGTTAATAGTTGCTTAAATTCAACTTATTTTAAAAGCACCATTTTTTTTACTCATCCCCCCATATATTGTTTTTAACATTATATTTCACATCTTTGTGCATGTGTATGTCTCTTAATTAATTTATTCCAGATACACGTTATTTTAAACTGCTTTTCTCTTGCTACATTTAAAATTATCTTTGTCTTTAACTTTTAGCACTTTAATTATGTGTTTTGTGGGTTTCTTTAAGTTCATCTTGTTTGGGACCTATGTGCTTTCTGACTTGGATATCTGTTTCCTTCACCAGGTTAGGGCAGTTTTCAGCTATTATTTCTTCAGATAGGTTTTCTGTCCCTCTCTCTCTCTTCTTCTGGGACCCCTATGGTGAGAATGGTAGCACACTTGATATTGTCCCAGAGGTCCCTTAAACTATTTTCACTTTCTGAAATTCTTTTTTCTTTTTCCTGTTTCAGTTAGGGTTTTTTCCACTACCTTGCTTTTCAGTTCAATGATTCACTCTTCTGCATCATCTAATCTGCTATTAATTCCCTCTAGTGTATTTTTTTCTTTTCAGTTATTATATTTTTTAGTTCTGATTGGTTCTTTTTTTATATTTTCTATCTCTTTGTTGGGGCTTTCCCTGAGTTTATTTATTCTCCAATTTTATTGACCATCTTTGTAGCCATTGCTTTCAACTTTTTATCTGGTAGATTGCTTGTCTTCATTTCATTTAGTTCTTTTTCTGGGGTTTTGACTTTTTATTTTGCTTGTAGCATAATCCTCTTTCTCCTCATTTTGTCTATCTCTTCATGTTTGTTTCTATGTAGTAGGTAGACCAGCTACATCACCAAATTTTGAAAGAGTGGCCTTATGTAGGTGTGCTGGGGGTATCTTGTGGTGCAGTCTTCCCTACACAGGGGAGCTTGGAAATGACAGAAGGGAGGGCGTTATCTAGATTTATGAATAATAGCCTTGTGTTACAATTGCCCATAGTATTCAGTACAGTAACTAGCTGTCCAGGTTTGTAGTTTAGGAGCAATCTGCTTTGCCATATAGCCTAGGTATTTGGTAGGCAATGCCATTTAGATTTGTGAAAGTACATTCTACATGTACCCACAATGATGAAATTGCCTAACAATACATATCGCAGAATATATCTCCATAGATAGGTGGTACCAGACTAATTTTCTAGGCCATCATATTGGACAGAGAGGGAAAGGAAAAAATAAGTCTGTAATAAATATTACACAAGAAAAAAGCAGTGTTGGTCTGTATGAATGTTATTCAGCCAGCTACATCTGATGACTTTTAATGATCTGGAGAACTTTAAGATGATATGATTACCTGGACCTTGCTAAAGCTAGCATTGTCATAGGCCTTCTGGACTCATGTTTAATTATGGCAATAGAACAAAAAGCAAATATGTTTATTTAGTATGTATTTATTCCCAGAAATCTTATGCACATTTAACCTGATGCCTCATGGAGTACTGTAAGTGGTGAGTAATAAGGAAAAAAGATTAAAAGGTTTTTTGTTTTTTTCTGCCCGGTATGGCTCAGTGATAGAGCATTTGATGTGTCTTGGTGTGGTCCTCTTTGGATTCCTTTTGTTTGGGGTTCTCTGCGCTTCTTGGACCTGTAAGTCCATTTCTTTCACCAGGTGGGGGAAGTTTTCTGCCATTATTTCTTCAAATAGGTTTTCAATATCTTGCTGTCTCTCATCTTCTGGCACCCCTATTATTCTGATGTTGGTACGCTTGAAGCTGTCCCAGAGGCTCCTTACACTATCTTCGTATTTTCGGATTCTTTTTTCATTTTGCTTTTCCGGTTGGGTGTTTTTTGCTTCTTCGCATTTCAAATCTTTGGCTTGATTCTTGCGCTCCTCTGGTCTGCTATTGGGTGTCTGTATAATATTCTTTATTTCAGTCCGTGTATGCTTAATTTCTAGTTGGTTCTTTATCATAGCATCGAGGGTCTCATTAGTTTTCGTGACTCTCTCCTCAAGTTTATTGACAGCTTCTAGCACATTTTTGCAAGCCCTCAAAATTGCGATTTTTAGCTCTATATCCTCCATTTCTGTCATGTTTTTTTGTCTCCGCATTTTTTATGCTTTCTTGGTGCACCCCCTAGTGGTCTTTGTGCGCAGTCTTGTTCTCGTTGAGCCTTGATTGTTGTAGTTAATACTAGAGGGATTTGACCACCAGGCCGACTGGCTGTGAGAATCAGCTGTGTCTGCTGCAGTGGGAAAACTTCTGTCCTCTGGGGGGGCGCTAATCTAGCCTTTGCCTGCGGCGATCCGGCAAATGGCTCTGCGCAGGGCTTGGGCGGGGCGGGCTCAACAGGGCGGGCGGAGGGAGCCGTTATGGTGCCCTCAGTCCTGTTCCCAGAGGCTCTGCTTCTCAGAACCCCCGGAACCGCTGCAAACCTCGGAGGGAAAGCTGCCTTCCAACTGATGCCAGACACTCCCGCTTCTCCCGTTTGGGTCCGAGTCCCCAGCGATTCGCCCGTATCTGGAGCTCAGAGTCTGAGACTCCCCCCTGACCGAAAACGACAACCGCGCTCTCAGCCACCAGCCCGCTTTGCGCGCGCACCTCCGCACCTGAGTTTTTTCCACACTGCGCCTCCTCTGAGCCTCGGTGTGCTGTTATTTTTCCTTCTAGTTGAAGAGTCTCTCCTCAGCCAGCCTTCCTGTGGTTCTGGGTGATGTCCGTTCCGTCTTTTAGTTGTATTTTTGAAGTGGTTGTTTGCGGCAGCAGTCTCCGGTGTTTACCTATGCCGCCATCTTGGTCTCCTCTTCAGATAGGTTTTCTGTCCCTCTCTCTCTCTCTTCTTCTGGGACCCCTATGGTGAGAATGGTAGCACACTTGATATTGTCCCAGAGGTCCCTTAAACTATTTTCACTTTCTGAAATTCTTTTTTCTGTTTCAGTTAGGGTTTTCCACTACCTTGCTTTTCAGTTCACTGATTGACTCTTCTGCATCATCTAATCTGCTATTAATTCCCTCAAGTGTATTTTTTTCTTTTCAATTATTATATTCTTTAGTTCTGATTGGTTCTTTTTTTATATTTTCTATCTCTTTGTTGGGGCTTTCCCTGAGTTTATTTATTCTCCAATTTTATTGACCATCTTTGTAGCCATTGCTTTCAACTTTTTATCTGGTAGATTGCTTGTCTTCATTTCATTTAGTTCTTTTTCTGGGGTTTTGACTTTTTATTTTGCTTATAGCATAATCCTCTTTCTCCTCATTTTGCCTATCTCTTCATGTTTGTTTCTGTGTAGTAAGTAGACCAGCTACATCACCACATTTTGAAAGAGTGACCTTATGTAGGTGTGCTGGGGGTATCTTGTGGTACAGTCTTCCCTACACAGGGGAGCTTGGAAATGACAAAAGGGGAGAGCATTATCTAGATATATGAATAATAGCCTTGTGTTACAATTGCCCGTAGTATTCAGTACGGTAACAAGCTGTCCAGGTTTGTAGTTTAGGAGCAATCTGCTATGCCATATAGCCTAGGTATTTGATAGGTAATGCCATTTAGATTTGTGAAAGTACATTCTATATGTACCCACAATGATGAAATTGCCTAACAATACATATCTCAGAATATATCCCCATAGATAGGTGGTGGTACCAGACTAATTTTCTAGGCCATCATATTGGACAGAGAGGGAAAGGAAAAAATAAGTCTGTAATAAATATTACACAAGAAAAAAGCAGTGTTGGTCTGTATGAATGTTATTCAGCCAGCTACATCTGATGACTTTTAATGATCTGGAGAACTTTAAGATGATATGATTACCTGGACCTTGCTAAAGCTAGCATTGTCATAGGCCTTCTGGACTCATGTTTAATGATGGCAATTGAACAAAAAGCAAATATGTTTATTTAGTATATATTTATTCCCAGAAATCTTATGCACATTTAACCCGATGCCTCATGGAGTACTGTAAGTGGTGAGTAATAAGGAAAAAAGATTAAAAGGTTTTTTGTTTTTTTCTGCCCGGTATGGCTCAGTGATAGAGCATTGACCTATGAACCAGGAGGTCATGGTTCAATTCCCAGTCAGGGCACATGCCTGGGTTGTGGGCTTGATCCCTAGTAGGGGGCATGCAGGAGGCAGCCAACTAATGATTCTCTCTCATCATTGATGTTTCTATCTCAATCTCCCTCTCCTTTTCCTCTCTGAAATCAGTGAAAATATATTAAAAAAAATTTTTTCCCCAAGGAATTTATCATCTTAAAATGATAATACAATATTCGTTTCATTTCTGTAGCATTTCTTTCTTTTCCCAACATGCTCTGAACCCTGCCATTAGAGGAAATACATAAAATATAATGGATTATGGTAACAATGTGTAAGTAATTTCCAGGTGTTCGTGATGGCATTAAATTTATGAGAAAGTAATTGTGGACAGAGTGTAAGTTTCTGATGACGAAGTCTTAGCATAAATGTTTGGAGATGACAGAATCATATGTAACTTCCCTGTAACTGGAGACTAGGTGTTCAGTGCAGTCCGTCTCATAAATTTTACTGTACATATTTGTGATGTTTTAGGACTCAGTGACATTTGAGGATGTGGCTGTGAACTTTAGTCTGGAGGAGTGGGCCTTACTGGATTCTTTACAAAAGAAACTCTACAAAGATGTGATGAGGGAAACCTTCAGCAACCTGGCCTCCATAGGTAAGGTTGACAAGTTACCCTTTACTTCCTCATCTGAAGGAGAAGTGTTTCTTATCCGTCAACATTGTGCTAACATGTAATGTAGGAATAGAGGACATTGATAAATAAACTAGGCATAGTCACAGCTCATTATAGAACTAGAATCTAATAATTTTTCTACAATTTCTAATACTTTGGAATCCTATTTCTTGGTCTGAATTTTAGGGGGAAAATGGGAAGATCACGAAATTGAAGATCAGTATAAGAACCAGGGGAGTAAACACAGGTGAGTAACATTCACAATAGAAAGCAGTGTCTCAGATGAGAAAACAATTATGCTATAAAAATTTTAGAAGAATTTTCCCAGCCCAGCTCAGTGGTTGAGCATCAACCTATGAACCAGGAGGTCACAGTTCTATTCCCAGTCAGAGCACATGCCCAAGTTGTGGGCTCATTCCCCAGTAGGGGGTGTGCAGGAGGCAGCCGATCAATGATTCTCTTTCATCATTGATGTTTCTATCTCTCTCTCCCGCTACTTTCCTCACTGAAATAAAATATATATATATTTAAAACAAATGAAAAAAAAATCAATCTAAACTACCCCTGCTTCAAATTACTTCTCAGAAATTTTTTACTAAAGTACTTTTTATATGTGATGTAGATGTGTAGTGTTTGCAAAAATAGTTTACATGCAAAGAGCATTCATGAAGCTAAATATGAAGGTTATTTTTTTTATAATAGCAAAGCTGAAGTTGTCTTGCAGAAATTTTGGTGTATTCAGTGTCCAGCAATTTGTACAAGACAGTAAACCTATACTTAGCAGTAAATCATAAAAATGTAGTCCAAATATTCTTCCAATAAGTATAAAATTATTAACAAAGAAATTAATAATGTGCTTCTTATTTTTTGCAGAAGTCAAATGGTAGAGAGAAGCTGCAAAAGGAAGGAGGATAGTCAATGTGGAGAAAACTTAACCCTTATTCCAAATCTCAATCTGATGAAATCTCTTCCTGGAGCAAAACCATGGGAATACAGTGCGTGTGGTGAAGTCTTCATGCATCATTCATCCCATGATAGGGACATCAAATGTCAAACTAGACACAAGACCTCTGAGAATCAGAAATATGGAGAGAAACCATATAAATGTAGTAGATGTGGGAGAGCCTTCACTTATATTCAGTTGGTTGAAAAACATGAAAGAAATCACAACAGAGAGGAATCTTATAAATGTGAGGAATGTTGGAAAGCCTTCAGGTGGCTCAAAAGCCCTCAAAGACACATGATCAAACATACTGCAGATGCTCCTTATAAATGTAAGGAGAGTTTAAAAACCTTTAGTTCTTCAGTTTTTCTTCAAACATGTGAGAGAAGCCACATTGTAGAGAAGCCCTATCAATGTAAACTCTGTGGAAAAGCCTTCCGATATTATAAAAGTTTTCAAAGACATGAAAGGAATCACCCTGGAGAGAAACCCTATGAATGTAAAAAATGCAATAAAGCATTCAGGTATCCCAGTCATCTTCAAATACATGAAAGAATTCACACTGAAGAGAAACCCTATGAATGTAAGCAATGTGGAAAGACCTTCAGATCTTACAGTTCCTTACAACCACATGAAATGACTCACACAGGAGAGAAACCCTATGAATGTAAGCAATGTGGAAAGACCTTCAGATCTTACAGTTCTTTACAACCACATGAAATGATTCACACAGGAGAGAAACCCTATGATTGTAAGGAATGTGGAAAAGCATTCAGATATTACAGTTCCTTACAAATACATGAAAGGTCTCACACTGGAGAGAAACCCTATGACTGTAAAAAATGTAGCAAAGCATTCAGTGCTCCCAGTTGTCTTCGCAAACATGAAAGAATTCACAGTGCAGAGAAACCCTATGGATGTAAAGAATGTGGAAAAGCCTTTAGATTTTATAGTTCCTTACAAACCCATGAAAGGACGCACACAGGAGAGAAACCCTATGAATGTAAGCAATGTGGAAAGGCCTTGAGATATTACAGTTCCTTGCAAATTCATGAAAGGATACACACAGGAGAGAAACCCTATGAATGTAAGGAATGTGGAAATGCATTCAGATGTAACAGTTTCTTAAAAATACACAAAAAATCTCACACTGGAGAGAAACCCTATGAATGTGAAAAGTGTAGTAAAGTGTTCAGTACTCCCAGTAATCTTCGAATACATGAAAGAACTCACACTGCAGAGAAACCCTATAAATGTAAGGAGTGTGGAAAAGCCTTCAGATACTATCGTTCCTTACAAACACATGAAAGGACTCACACAGGAGAGAAACCCTATGAATGTAAACATTGTGGGAAAGCCTTCATTTGTCGCACCACCATTCAAAGACACATGAAAATGCACACTGGTAAAACACCGTATCAATGTAAGGAATGTGGGAAAGCATTCACTTGCCTTAGTTTGTTACAAAGACATGAAAGAACTCACACTGGAGAGAAACCCTATGAATGTAAACAATGTGGAAAAGCCTACAGAGATCACAGTTCCTTACAAAGACATGAAAGAACTCACACTGGAGAGAAACCCTATGAATGTAAGGAATGTGGGAAAGCCTTTATTTGTAACAAAATTTTTCGAATACACATGATGAGAGTGCACACTACAGAAAAACCATATAAATGTGAAGAATGTGGGAAAGCCTTTAGTCATCCCTATTCCTTTCGAAGGCATGAAAGGACTCACTGGATAAAACCTCTTGAATGTAAATAGTGTGGGAAAGACTTCAGTTGGCCCACATCATTACATGTGAAAACTCCCACTGAAAAGAAATAAAAATGCAAATAACATGAGAAGGATTGACATAATCCTATTTAATGAAGATGGAATATGGAAATTGACCATCACTTTGCGACAAAGATGGTGGCACCCACAGCCAATAAGGAGGGAATATGCAAATTGACACAACAAAGATGGCAGCGGCTGGGCTGGAGTGAAGGCAAGAGGCGGCGGCCAGAGCGAAGGCTCAGGTTCCGGGTGCCAGCGGGAAGCCGGTGCCAGCAGCCAGGGGAAGGAAGGGCTATTCTTGCACGAATCTCCGTGCATCGGGCCTCTAGTTTAGTTATAATGCTCTAGAAAACTTTCAGTATTTAAAATAGTAAGTAAATTATGTTTACCAGTTTTTTAAGTGCATAGTTGGACATGGGATTTATGCTACAGTTGATCCTTGGAAACCTCAGGAGTTAAGGGAACCTGTTTTCCATGCAGTTGAAAATTTTTGTGTAACCTAAGCTAGCCCTCTTCATAAATGAATACCAAACCAAAGATTGAAAATACAGTTGATCCTTGAACAACCCAAGTTTGAAACTGCATAGGTCCGCGTTTTAAATTTTGCAGAAAAATGGACCTGCACATTTCAAACTCATGTTCTTTAAGCATCAGTTACTTTTAGAAATATTGAGGTGAAATAATTTTAGAATTTGTCTTTAAATAATTATATAACATTAATCGGTAATAAATAATGAATTCTAATAATGAGCACAAACCATCAAGGACTGTGAGGTATAATATCAGAGTGTTCATAAGGACTTTTAACAAGATTTTGACTTGTGTTTGATGATTTCATTGCTAATCAAGGAAGACCTTTTTCTGTATTATCATCAGTTAATAACATTGTTTCTACATTTTGAAGCTTGTTAGATCCATGGGTGAATTCAAGTTTACTTCTAATATGCAATTAGGTTTAACTTTTAATAATGTTTTGTTTCATGTTAAGGAGCCATTGGAAAAAAGACAGTTTGGTATTTGGGATTTTCCTACTGGTTTTTTGATAGTTCCTGGATATTTCTATTCCTTGATAAACATATTCTCTCTTTTATACTGACAAAACTCCTTGTGTGGGGTGATGGGTATTAGATACTGTTTCCATTTTTCATTCTAATTAAACAGGTAGAATACATTTTAAGTAGTTCAAGTTTATGAAAGATTTTAGTTTCGTGTGAATTATTTTCATATTTCAGCCTTTGCTGTTGTTTTATTTGACTTGCATTTGGTGAATAGATTTTTATTTAAGAAGAGAAACCTGTAATAAATAGAAAAAGAAAATAGAATTGGAAATATCACCCCTGTGGGTAGTGTTAGGAACTAGATTTTTAGAATCTATGCCCTTTGTAGTTCCATTAGACGTTACTAGTAACCCCATAGAGTGAGATTTCGAAAGCAGAAGTGAAGAAGACATTAGTCATATTGTAGACCTACCACACAGGGAGAAAGAGGTACCTACATACCATCTTACACCTCATTTTTAAAAATTCTTTGCCCTTCCAGTCAAGAGTATACTTGAAACCACCACCAACTGTGTAATTTCCATTTTTTAGGTATAAGTTTCCACTGATGTCTTCACAAATTACACATCAAAGATCCATCAGAGTTTGGATTTTCTTGTAAGCTGTCTTGTGTCCACCATGAAACTGATTCAAACTTTTATGTTTATATCTGATTCCCCTCTTTCTAGATTACATCTGCACAAGGTCTAAATTATATAGGAAATACCTTATGCTGTTAATAGTGCTAGTATATGTCCTTGGTTGACCATGACATCTACATGCTGCTACTGAAAAGAATATGGAGTTTGTTTCTCTGCTGCATGTTTTGGGGCTGTGTTGACCTGGTCCTTCGGTGTGAGAATAAGCACCTTCCTCCTGTCGGGAAGACTGGATGTTTCCTGTTACTTGTAGCTGAGCCCAATCAGTTAATAACATATATAATTTTACATATATATATACATATATAATTTTAATCCTCACTCAAGGATATGTTTTTATTGATTTTAGAGAGAGGAAGGGAGAGAGAGAGAAACATTGATGTGAGAGAGAAACATTGATCTGTTGCCTCCTGTATGCTCCCCAAATGGTGATTGAACCTGCAGCCTAAGATATAAAATGCTGATATTTTGTTTTCCATTTCCTGAAAAGGATATATTAAAATGTCTCATTATAATATGCATTTTCAGATACACTTTGCAATTTTTTACATTTAATGATTACATATTATTGTTAGTCAATATTATCATGTACATACAAGTTCAGGTTTTTTTCTCAAATTTTATTTTATTTATTTTTAAATATATTTTTATTGATTTCAGAGAGGAAGG